AATATGCGTGCCAAATTTATGCTATAAAAGTGGAAGCACCCCACTGTGTAAATTCAAATTATTTTGAGCTACCGTAAGGTAAACACATTGCCATATAAAAGTTAAAGCGAACGAAATGTATAAAATCGTAATTATTCTACTGAGCGCTTTAGCGCTATGGACAAGTTGTGCGGCGCGTGATATCGGCCGTGTAACGAACAGCAACTCCATTGAAGGTCGCATCATTGGCGGCTATGCGATAGAAAAGGGTGTCGCCCCCTATCAGGCTTCCATACAGAACACATTCGGCGAACATGTGTGTGGCGGTTCTATTATCGCACCGCAATGGATCTTAACGGCTGGCCATTGCATGGATTGGCCCAAGAAATATCTGAAGATCATCACTGGCACTGTGGAGTGGCAGAACCCAGGCGCCGTTTACTTGGTGGACGACATCAAGGTGCATTGCCTCTACAATACACCAATGTATCACAACGATATCGCGCTTGTACGCCTTACTGAACCAATTGTGTTTGACAACTACACCGCGGCAGTGCAATTGGCTACCAACAATACACTGCAGGATGGCGATGACTTAGTGCTCACCGGTTGGGGCAGCCAAAAGGCGTGGGGTAATGCTATAAACACTCTGAATAAAGTTAGCTTGGAGTACTTGAATTACACTGAGTGCACAAAATCAGTAAAGAATTCTAAATTTCTTGGCAATGGACATATTTGCACATCCACCAAAAGTGGAAAAGGCGCCTGCAGCTACGACTCGGGCGGTCCATTGGTCGATGCCAATCAGGTGCAGGTTGGTGTTGTCAACGGTGGTGAGCCATGTGCCTTGGGCTATCCCGATACGTTTGCCAGTGTGTCTTACTTTCATGACTGGATAGTAAGTACCATAGAAGGTACAAGCGCATGCTGAGTTGGAGGTGATTTGGTGTTGGAGAAGCAGGTGTGGGTGGATAAAAGCCAACAATGATCAACTATTTAGGTTACAATTTAATTCTTCATGGATTGATTTAAAAGCTTGCATACTCGTACATATGCCAATATGTAAGTACATGTGTGTGATAAAAACTATAATGATCTACTTTAATGCAGAAGCGAATATGTAAACCCAATTTTTTAT